TGGTCAATTATAAAATTTAATACTAATAAAGTATACAAAAAATTAAAACTAACTGTAGAACTCACTTTGGATTCAGTATATAATATGTACATAATACTAAGAGAACTCTTGTATGCGCCTTATAATCTATAGGTATACATAATGAATTTTTAAAATTATTATTAGAATGAATTTTTTTTTTTGCGTTTGACAAATTCATTTCGATAGTAAATTTCGATGCCATCAATTTATTTCGATAGTAAATATAATTTACATAATATAAGTAGCTGAGATTTGGAATAAATCAAAAAAAAAAAATTATAAATTCTCCCTTTCTCTTTTTTTATTCTCTCTTTATTCTCTTTTTTACTTTAAAATGCAAAAGTCACAAGTGATTGCTTCAATTTTAATAAAATTTTCATTGAATTTGGAATTTTAAATTTTTTGATAAATTTCTGAAATTATTCTATATTCGCTATAGACTTACCGTTTTCACGAAATGTTTTCACGAAAACGGTAAGTCTATAGCGAATCCTAACAATTAAATATTATTTAAAATTTTATTATTTAACAATTTAAAATTATTAAATATTATTCTTTTAAAAATTCAAATATTTATTTCGTTTTTATTTGCGTGAAATAGTGTAATTAAAATTTTATGGAGATAGTAAATTCCAAGGAAGAATTAATTTTCCAATTGAAAACTAAGTAAGCATATATTTCAGAAATCATTGCCAATTTAATCTGCCACTTTATACGCAAGCAATTAATATATTTTCGAAAAAAAATTATCTAATAAATTTCTTTTACAAATTTCAATTTAAGTATAGATTTTTTCTTTTAACTAAGCTTAAAATTAAATAATCTTGGTGATACTCGTATTTATGTGCATATTATGTATGTACAATATATGGTTAAAATTCATTAAAATCATGACTATTTTTTATTAAGAGAGAAATTCCAATGAAAAATTCATTTGCTATTATTTTTATATACATATATGGTTTTAACTACAAACTATATTAATAGAGAGATGATGATGACAGTAGAAATTGAATAATATAAGTAATAGGTTTATTAACCTTACTATATATGCTTGCAATTTACTTACATGCAATATTTTTGCAATTATTAATTTAAACTCATCATATATATATATATATATATATATATATAATGAATTATTGTTAAAAATCTTGTTTATTTTCTTTGAATATTTTAGAGAAAATCATTTAAATTAATATGTGTATATATGCGATTTAATGTTATTATGTGTGATAGTATATGTAACAGATGAATTGGGTATTTCCTGTAATAAAACAAAAACGTATATTGTCTATTGCCTATATATATATATGTATGTAAAAAAAATAAATAATTTCTTACGGAAAAACTTTTTCTTATTGATGACAATCGGAAATTTTAATTTTTTTTTTGTTTTTTGGAAGTGAATAATAAATTTTATGCTCCTAAATATTTTACATGAAAATAAAAAATCGTTTATCAAAAATTTCAATAATATTTTATAGTTCCTTTTTTTCTCGCTAGATTTGTTTTTGTTAATTAATCGTTTTGTAACAAGGCTGATGTGACGACACCTTATATACCACCACTATAATTATTTTATTGTTATTAAAATAGTGTTGCCATTTTAACCCAAAATGGGGCAAATAAACTAACAAAACAAATTTTATAATTTTAAATTACTCTATTGGTTGTGATTTTTGTAAATATATGCTCGTATTATAAACTGTTTTTAAAATCCTAAGCTTATATTTTTTAACTTAGCTTTTGTAGATTTTGCTATTAGGCTAATTTTACTAACATATGATTTCATTCATTTTAGCTGTTAAAATTTAACTCGATTTGGCTAAATTATTTGAAGGTAATGGATAGGCCTAGGATAATAAAATTAATGGTTGTATTTTAATTATAAATTCTCATACTAGCTATTTTTTAATCCAAGGTTCGCTTTGAAATTGAATTGACTTGAATTTTACAGAGTTATCAAAACACAACGGGGCATTTAAGCTGGAAAATTTATTGAAAATTTGAAATACAATTATTTAATCACATTTAAAAGTAAAAATTTTTCAATACGTCTAAAAGAAAGTAGACTCTCTGTAATTAAAAACGCAATTCCTCAATCACATTTGAAAGTAAAAAATATTCACCACATTCAAAAGAAAGTAAACTCTCTGTCAAGGATATCTAGTACATATTTTTAGGATTTGTTTGCACATACATATGGCCGGTTTTTATTTAAAAAATTATTTATGTGGTATATATACATACATACTAATTATCTGTTAATTTTGTTGTCATTACATTTTATTCAAAATTACTTCAGTTGACGTTAACAGACATAACATACATATTATAATATTTATGGTAAATTTGAGGTAAGATAAGCTAGATAGAGTAAAAACAAAAACTTAAATTTATTATGCGTGAAAGTTATGTAAGATAGGTCAGTTGCCTATTGTATATATATATATATATGAGATATAAGGATATTAAAACAAGTTTGGATTAATTTAATAGTTGTGATATTATCTAATGTCACAACTATGTATATAGTCTGACATTATAATGAAAAATTTCAATAAATTTTTATTTTATGATTAATAATAAACGTCATTACAGAATAATGGCATTTTAACAATGAAATTTATTGAATTTTATAAAACTTGATCATTGGAAAAGAAATTAAGTTTAAAAATAATTGACAAAAGTCATGTAAACATTTGAAATTCAAAGGCATTTAAATTATGTAATAAGATAAAATTCACAATTTCGTAGTTAATTGACATTTTTGTTGTAATTTAAAAATGTTTCACAATCAATCATAATCGCATGAACATGAAGGTCAACTAACTTTTTTAAACTGAGTATTTTATTGCTCAAATGAAAATGAATTTAAGAAAATTTCGTAGCCATAACATTTTTTTCTAAAATATTTTAAAATAAAATCATCAGCACTTTTTATTCTAACATAATACAGATGTTTATAAAAGCAATACTGCAATAAAAATGTGATATATTTTTGACAATTCTATAAATATACAAAACAGTTCATAATATGATCTAACTGCATTATATTATAACAACTTGTCTATATTATTGATAATTTTGCAATATTTATGAACAAAATAGATTTGTAACATTATTGTTTATAAACACTAATATAACGAAGTTTTGGATATATATATATATATTGTGATATATATATTTATATATATATCACAATATATATATATATATTTTACTGTATTTATGAAAAGGCCTAATACTGACAGTAAGCAGAGCCTGATTAAACGCAAAATTTAATCGAATTTTATGATGCAATAATAAATTAACAATATATAAATAACTAATTTAGTTTTTTAGAAATTTATAAAAATATAAAAGTTTGATTGGAGATGCTTCTCTAATTAGCATTCCGAACCTATAACATTTTCATTAATACGCGTAATTGATAAGTTACAGTCTAATTTAATAACATATGAAATTGTATGAAATAACTAAATTTTTTTTTCTATAAGAAATAAATATGATTCCAAATAGATCTATATATAATCACTTTAAGATTATATATATAATCACTTTCAAATAATGTGAAACTCCTAACATAACATTATAGCTAAAAACAGACATAATTAACTCTATAAGATGACTATACGTTATATACACTAAAAATAGCTTAAAAAATATTTGTGTACAATTATGTAAAATACAAGCAAATTCCATTTAAATATAATCAATTTAATTTCTATTTATGTATATTTTATTAAGATATTTATATGATATATATGATGTATCATATATATATCTTAATATATATATATATATATATATATATATATATACTATATATCATATATATATTTTATTAAGATATATATGTGATATATATGATGTATCATATATATATCTTAATATATATGTATATATACTACATATCATATATATATATATAATTTAATTAATGAATTTAATATTATTTTATTCACATAAGTTATATTACATGAGATGTTTAATCGCTATTTATGGGAAAACATGCAATTATATCGATAAAATGTAAATCATATGGAATAATCTTCTTATTTAGTTCGTATATATATATATATGTATATATACATATATGTACATAATCAAATGAATTTTAATAAATTTTCAGTTTTGTTTTTCTATTTCCTTTAAATAAATTGTTGAAACCAGTATACTCGTATTATGTATATAAGTATGTCTATTATGCATCTATCTATTTCATAAAGTTATTTAAAATATTCATTTAAAAATAAAACTCTTTATAGTTTTCTGATACGAGTGACTCATTAAATATTTTAGAGATCTGTATATATATAGTTTTTTTTTAAAGTATGTGCATATATATCAAATCAAATTAATTTGGGCAATTGAATTATTCAACTTACTCGTAATTGTAAAATTTGCAAAATTTGAGTCTAAGTATAAAATAAAAATTCTGTTATTTTTTGTTAAGAGAAAATCTCTGATATCGGACTCATTAAAATTTAATTGAAATATAATATATATGCTATATATCAGTTAAAACTGTCATGAACCATAAATTATTTATGTTGAATATAATTCGAATTCTGCTTGCAAAAAGGAATAAATTCAATTAAATATAAAATTATTTCAAGATTATTATAAACATTCTAAATTATAAACGTGTAAAATAATCTCAATGTCAAAGAAGATTTTTATAAAATTCCCATAAGAATATATGTATATATGTAAGTATTATGTACATTTATTAAAATTTTCAAGATTTCTTCATTTGAATTGCCGAAACTCAAATTTCTCTTAATATTGAATGAGACTAATTGATGAGACAGCATATAAATAATTACAACATTGCCGAATTGTTTCAACAATATTGGTATATAACAATATTTTTAAAATCACGGAATGATTCTTTATATGTACATTTTATAATTAATTTTAAAAAAAATTATTCAAAATTGCACATAAATTTATTAAAATCATATACTTACATCATATTCTTCTGGTTCTTCTTGTGACAATTTACCACCTTGTTTACCAGATGATCTATGAATTAATTGTTGTTTTGGTGCCTGAGGTGCTGCTTTATAATTAACAGCTTGTGGTGCATGATGTTGTGGTTGAACATATTGGAACTAATATATATAAAATATAATAAATTATTTAATTAATTAATTTAATAATAAATATATATAATTTATTAAAATTTTATTGTGAGAATATTAATTTGAATTTTATATTATAATAAGTAAAAATACGCTGTTAACTGGTAGCTGTAAATTATTTCATATATTCGTATATATATATATTTATGTATATATATATATATATATATGTAGATGATTCTGAATATTAATAATTATTATATTAATTTATTAATTTTTACCATGTTAAAATGTGTGTATACAATGTACGTGATATTAATTTAACAAATTAGTTCCCATTGTGCTTCAATCCTTTAGAAATGCAATAGATGCAATAGGATGTACATATGTTTGTATAAATGTAGAATATACTCAATTAATTGTGATGTATATACATGCTATAAATTCTCATATTATAAATTTATAATTTCAAAATTTCCAATAAATTAAATTATTAATGATTTTTGATTGTGGGAACCAATTTATTTTTAAAACAAAAAATCTTTAAAGAATAAAAAAATAAAAAATTAATTTATACAATATATTAATGATTAGATTAGAGAGGATTTACTATTATTTTATTATTGTTTTTTTATTATTATATTTTATTAAAATGGGTAAGGTTTTATTATTATAAAAATTAATTTTAATAAAAACAGTGAATGTACAATAAAATCATTTTGACATTTTGATTAATAATTACATTATACAAAAATATGTGGAGAGTATGTGAGTATGTGAGAAAATTACTAATTTGGAGAGATAAGTATTTTGCTCGAATTCGAAACTATTTAATTACTCAAAAATTATTTAATTTCTCAACGCCAGAATAAATTATTACAATTGAGAGAATAAAATAACGTCATCAAAAAAAAAAAATAAAGAGAGAAAATACTATTATTTTAAAAGCTTTTATTATTGTGTACAACAATTCTCGGGCAAAATTATCTCCCGATGAGAGAATCTCTCGATTCCAAATTTCGGAGTATAGATATATGAAATTATTAAAAGAAATTGAAAAGAATAAAAATTTTAGTTAGAAATATCGAAATTTTACTGTATGAATAAAAAATTAATAAATGTACAATAAAATTTCTAAGTAAATTTCAATGAAGATGAGCACAATATGCCAGTGGCATTCATTAATGAAGATAAAATATACTATATATAAGATGAAAATTGATAATCAGATTTTTAACAATATTCCTTTCAAGATTTATAAAGATGGTTTGTTTTCTGATGCTTTAAGCAATTAGTTTTTATTTTTCATTTTTCAATTTAAATTTATTGGATTATAAAAATAACAATAAGAAAATGTTTTTACAAGTTGATTTTATCATTAAATAAATTGATAATTTTTTTTTTTTTGCATTGCATAATTGCACCCCCCTCATAAAAATTGTTAACGAATTTAATTTATTAGTATTTTTTAATGATAATTATAAGACTTGAATTTAATTTTAAGGTAATTAAAATAATTTACTATTAAATTACAATAATTGTAATTATTGTCTATTTTATGGAATAATTAAATCTAATGCTAATGATGTGCACATAAAGGCAGTACTGGCAGATTTTGTAATAATATTCAGCACTTTTCGTGTTCTATATTCGATTCAGTTCTCTCTCAAATGAGGCTTGTAGTTTTGTTCTGTTTTATCCTAATACAAAAATTTTCAGTTTATTCTGTGTAGTATAGGATAGTTACAAAATTATTTTTGACCAGATTAATATTAAAATTTTTAAAAATTAATATTATTTCTATAATATTACTTTATTATTGAAGCATAAGTCATACTCAATTTAGCTATTATATTCAAAGAATATTCCATTTTAATTACAATAATAATCTTCTACTAGATGTGCAAAAAAATATTAAATTTAAATTAATATTAAATGAAAATTAAATGAAGAGAATATTTTCTATATTAGATACTTTTATAATTTAAGAAGTTTTAACAGAAAAATGTGCATTATCAGCATTAATTTAATATGAATGAAGACAAGATCATATATTTAAAAGAAAAGAATGAAGAAGAATTTATTAAAGGTTGAAATAATCACGATCTTTTCTTGATAATATATTTGATATTTTAATCAATTTCAATTTATAAATACAATAGGTAATATTATATATATATATGAGTACCTATATATTAATTTTAATAGTTAATATTTAAAAGCCCCATAATGTTTTAGGTCATGTTTCAACACAAATTGTATGAAATAATAATAAAAAATTTATTGATGTAGAAAAACTAAAGTCAATGCCATATGGTTACAAAGTACTTAAATTGCACATTTTATCAATAAATCAATCAAGTTTTTGTGTTAAAATTGAAAAGAATAAAAAAAAAATTTTTTAAAAAATTGTAGGAAAAGTTTAAAGATTAAAAGTATTGAAAAGTTGCGCACCTTAATTTTTGTATTTCGTTTTTTTTTTTTTTGTAACTTTCAACTCTTTGGCTTTTCAATTTTATATTTTAAGAGAATGTAATTGAAAAAGCAATAAATGTAATTGTTATAATGGTAAAATTTGAAAAAAAAAAAAAAAAAATTATTTTTGTGTATTTCTTTTTTAATAAATTCAATGATTTTTATCATTTAAATTTGCAATTTTTTTTTTTTTTAAATTTTAATTAATTTATTAAATTTTCCCGATATTCTCATATTATTTTCTAAGAATATTTATTTTCTACAATTAAGATTGTTTAAAATTATAATCACTCTTATTTTGTAAATCTCACTCTTAGCACACTGAAATTCGTAATTTCTTCCGATTATTGTGAATTCCGTTGTAGTCGAATAATTGTATTCCGAAATTCGTAATAGAGTAATTATACGAATCACTTTCGTAACGAAAATAAAATGCGAAACATCTACTAATGAAATTTTCAAAAGTAGAAAGCCAGTATTCAAGAGTGATCTCTTTTACACAAAAAAAATTTAACAAATAAATTTTTTTACATAAAAAAAATTTATTTGTTAAATTTTTTTTATGTAAAAGAGTAAAATTCAAATATTTCGTAGAATTTATCTCTACGAGTGATATTAGTAATTACTCAAAAGTCTGAGTACGTAAGTTTTGCTTGAAATTCGTAGAAATTTACGAGTGAAATTCACAATATGAGTGAAGATCGATTAAATAAAAATTAAATGATCCTATATTTTAATTTATACAATAAGTCATTCTATTTATAATTCATACAGTATGATACAACAATATATTTTTAAAATTTATAATTTCGAAAATAATTCTAGAAAAACACATAAATAAAATATATTGTAGGATATTTGAATACATTATTAAATCTTAATATATATCACAAATAAGATATATGAGATTAAAAAAAAAATATTACTCTCTCTCTATCTCTTTTAAAATATTTCAAGCTCTGCTTCAAAATAATTGAAAATTTTTGGTAGATCATACTAAATTAGACCGGAATGACAAAATAGCAAGATAAATCAAATATTCGAAAACAATCAATATTAAGCTAACGATTCGACTTAATGAGAAGAAAATGATCGCATTTTGTACAATGTAAAACAAAATTTGATCTCTTGAATTATATTATTTATACTGGACGATTAAATGTATCGATTTCCAACCATTGATAATCGAATTGGAATTGAAGCTATAACATATACTATAAAGCATATTATCAGTTAACCAAATTTTTCGCTATTTTAAATCCAAATTTTAAAAATATTTCATTTTTATTTAAAATGGACTTAAGTCCACTTTCTAAATAAACCTTCGAATCATAACTTTTTAACTAAATTAGAAAACTAAGACTACAATAGATAATAATTTTAACTACAATAGATTAATAATAATTACAGTTATTTTCGAATTTATTTTCGAAAATATTATTGATTAACTATATGTATATATAATATAATAAATAATTACTGTAATATTGGCGCCTTGCTTGAAACATAATTATTTTGAGACAATGCAACTAGTTCGTTAATGCTCGATAATGTTTGATAATGTTTGAAGCTAATTAATATTTACTAGAAATAATTAATAAGTATATGCATAATAAAATAAATGATAGTAATTATAAAGCAATTTTGAATATGTAAAGAGATTTTTTTTTTACATATTTTAAATTATTGAGTAATTATAATAAAAATATAAAAATATCGCAATTATACTGCAAAAAATTGCTTTGCTGCATGAATGCAAAATCTATATGGAAATTTATTTGAAAAATAAATAAGAAATTGGCATAAAATTATCAAAATAACGTTAGCATATAATTCAAGTAATTAAAAATATAAGAAATTTTTACAAGTTTTCAATTTTAATTGCACTTATATTATTGGCTCTTTTTATGATTAACTTATTTTTTTGAGGAAGTTTTAAATTAAACAAAAAAAAAACGATATGGCATGCAATTTATTTTCTTCCAAATTTAAATTTCCTTGATCACACACATTAAAAAATATTTTCGTGACAACATTTAGACAAAAACAAAAAGAAAAAACTGAAGAAAATTTAATGAAACATTTTCCAATTTTTCATTACCTATTTGTTTTGTTAGAAATTTTGAAAGTTGTGTTTATAAATTTCAATGTGCTTACATATAGGCCAGCGAATATTGCATAATTGAATATTTTCAAAGATAAAATGAATTTTATCGCACGTGTCGCATAAGAATCAATATTGTTATATTCATAATAAATTGCTATATATGGTAGCATAATATATTGTGATACTAGTTAATATATAACCAATACATTTGTATAACAGAAATATTTTACATAAAATGGCACACATATACACAATAAGACTGCCACATTTATCTTTATAAAACATTTAAGTTATGACAAAAAAATTTATCAAAATTAAAAAATAATTTTAAAAAATAATACAGGCCTAACTATACTTCCAAGTGAAGAATGAACAAGGCTCTAAATTCTTATCATATTACTATAGTGTTTCCATTTAAGATCATCCAATTTTTTGTGTTATATAACTTTGAGCTAATAGAAATCACTCATAACGTATAACACTTTCAACTACATGAGCTCATACAAAGCAGTACATAGTTGGAAAGAATTTAGTTATAGCCCATATGTTCTGGAAATTGGATTTAATAGATTTTTATGTGATATACGAAAAATGTTAAATTTTTCAACATTTAAGTATATAACAGAACAGAATACAGGGTTTCATTTAAAAATTATTGCCAACAACTATTTAAAATGTTATATTCCTTTCATATTCCTTTCATATTCACTTTCTTAATTCCCAATATTTCAATTTCTTGTCCATTATACACGTTGTTGAACAATCTATAGAAAATGATTAAATTACATTATACAATTTTTTTTTTCAAATCTTATACCCCGTGTCCCTAACACAGTTGGTTTTTATTCTGATTTATTACAGAAATCAAAATATTTTACCACAGTGATAGCTTGTCAACTGCGATTATTAAAAAACAAAAACAAGCAAAAATTTTTCAACAAAATATGCGGAAAATATTGATTTTAAGTCAACTATTTTTTTAATTTTTTTTTTTGTTGTGGTTCACTTAATTGTGTTCTCAAAATTTTAACAAATTTATTTAATTTTATGACTATTATTTTTCAATTACACATTCATTCACATAGGTTTTTGTTAAAATTTTTTTCTTAACTTTTATTTTTCGAACAACAAGACAACTCATAAACCACATACAGAATAACAGTATAAAAGTACAAATAACTACATACATATAAAACGCTAACAAAACAACGACAAAACGAAAAACACAGAGAAAAATACGATAAATAAAATGGGCCACATAGCTTTATTTTTCTTGTTGTTGTTGTTGTAAAATTTTGACATGATAATCGATTAAATGAGAAGAAAAAATCAGAAAAAAATTCTCTTATGCAATAATTTAAAATTCAGAAAGTAAAAATAACTGTTATATGAATACAGGGTGGTTGACTCTCTATGATATTTTAGAAGAAATTTCGACCTTAGTTTTCCACTTAATGAAGAAATATTGTTTTTGAAATGTTGACATTTTTACATATATATATGTTTAACATCAAAGTAAATGTCAAAAAAAAAATAACTTGTAATGTTATAATGTAGCATGAAATAATGTCAAAAATAGAATAACATGTGATTTTGCATAATAACTGGAAAATATATTTTAATAAAAATTTTTTAGAATTTAACAGAAACATTAAAACTGTTTTTTTTTTTTATATAAATGAAGTGTATAACAGTTTTATTTTTAATTTATTAATTCGAATTTAATACTCGAAATCAAAATTTTCTCTAGTATAATTTACGTTCCGTAAATTTTAAAGTTTTTGACACTCATTTTGATGCCTTGTAATTTAAGAAGATGGAAGTGTTTCCACTCTATTGAATCACCCTGTATAGTAGGTACAAGGCAAATAACGTAAACTCAATTTAAAATTATTCAAGTGTTAAACTATATCATACCTATAACGGTATACACATAACGGTATATATGGTCTATAACCGAAAATATTATATGCCTATATGCATTTTAATAATAAGTACTATGTGAGTGTGCCTTAAATAGGATAATTGTATATTTATAACTTCATTGTATATGTATACAATATTGTTATACGTATATTCATTAGAATGGTATAGTAACAATAACCGAGTTGATCGATTAAAAATATTTTTTTTTGCTGTTGTGTTGTTTAACTAGTTTTGTATATGAAATTATTTCGAATTCTTTTCGAATTTTTTTTCGATTCAATTCGATTATTTGCAAAAGTTTGTTAAAAAAAAATAAATGGAAAAAAAATTAACAATCTTGTTAATAAAAAGTGAAATTATCAATTCTATGCGATCTTTTACAGTTAAATCGTTTAACTATTAATGCATAAAATAATAATTATATGTATAACAATAATAAAATAATTTCATTTACGATTTATTTATATTCATTGAAAATGTAGTATATAAGAGATAAATGAAATTCTCGATTATTGATAAATTATAGGTATTTTCAATTTTTTTCTATCGATTCATATAATAGTTAATGACTGTAATTTTGAATTAAATTGGATTATAATTAGAAAAAATTCTGAATATAAAATTATCAATTTAAACTTTAAAATTCAAATATGTATAACTCCAATATTATACTTATTCTGTTATATTTAAATACTTCAAAATAAAACGGTCTTATACAAACAATAATAGTATACAAATTGTAATTTTGAATTTAACTGTTATATTAATAGAATTTTTTTTAAATATGTATAACTGCAATGTTATACTTATTCTGTTATATTCAAATACTTCAAAATAAAACGGTCTTATACAAACAATAATAGTATAAAAATTGTAATTTTGAATTTAACTGTTATATTAATGGAAATATAGTGCAGAAAATGATCAAAAACGTATACATTAATGGATTAAATTCAAACTAACAGTATATATATAAGTATGTGCCATTTTCGAATTTACACTATATGTGCTACATTATAAATTATTTAATTATCATTATATTTAATTTATATATAGATTAGTGATCATATATGTAATTTTGTATTAGCATTTAATTATTGTTAGTCTATCTTCATTATTAAAAAGTGCAAACAATATTCTTCAGGATTTGTTCTTAACATACATTATTTTGTTATATATTATTGTTGTATATAGTATAATTGTGTATATTTTAATGTATTATTTTATTATATCTGTGAATAAATTTAAAAATATTTTTAAGAAAAATACTCGTAATTATAGGATTATTTAAAATTAAATGACACATATTTACTGTTACAATTTTAGAAATAAAATTTTTACAGTTTTATTAAGGAATATTTTTACGTCAAATTTTGTTTTGAAGCATTATGTCAAAACCATTTATTTGTACGAAAAACAATTCAACGAATTATGCACACTTTAAGGAGTTAAAATGTCAATTTGAAATATTTATTAAAAATATATAAAATATTGTAGTAAATTAATTTAAATGTTTTGATTTTTCATTTATATAATCGATTTATGTAATAGATATAATCGAATTTCAGAGAGAATGCTACAATACTAGAATATTTTTTCTTATTCAAATAATTGAGTGATAAAACTTTATATTAATGCTAGCAGTGTCATAGCATAGAAGCATAAATGACAATGACAGGACAAAAAATTTCATTACTGGAATACATAATTCATATCAATCGAATTTTGGAGATTTTATTAAAAATTTGTTTTATGACTGTAATTATTATGTGGTGTTTTATTTTTGTTATATACGAGTAGGTAACTTCTTTTTCCATTCTTATTTCATAGGGTTAAAAAATCAGCAAACTGTTATATAATTATAATATAACAAAATAATATTATTCACAGATATATAAATTAATGTGATATTATTTAATAATTTTTAATTAATTAATTCGATTATATTTTTAATTAATGTTAATAATATTATTGTTATATCATATTTTATAATCATTTCATTATATTATTATATAATATGTAGGTATATATATATATGTTTAAGAAATTACCTGTTGTGGTTGCTGTTGATGAAGATATTCTCTAACTGTTGGTGCAACATACGCTTGAGTATGTTGTGGACTTTGTTGTGCTCTAATCTATTTTTATAATATATAAATTCAAAATATAATAATAATGAAAATTATAATATGTATATAGATAATAATAATTTCATTTTTCAAATTTGATTATTGAAAATTTAATTATTATATAAATTTCTAATATATAGTTAGAAGATTGTTTCAATTATTTTGTACGAATTCTGTTATAATTTTTGTGGTTTTAATTGAATATGTAATGGAGATACATATATCATCAGAAATACGTCATGGCATTTCTGTAACAAAAGTACATTTCCATATAGTTTCTAATTCAAAATTCAGAAAATAGTCGAATCTTAGTTTTGCCACAATATGTTTGTAGGATGACATATTATGCATACTTAATTACTATGAATTAGAATGAAGAGATTATACGTAAATTATAATAGTATGGATTTGTATTAAATATCAATTTTTGTGCTGTTCCTCAATAAATTCCATGAGACTCCATTTTCTATGATATTTAAAGTACTTATACATAATTTATTTAGTGAATGATTGTTTATAGTTCTCTTTTTGTCATATTCAATAAAAATATTGGATATATATAAGCAGTTTTACAGTTACTTTTCTAAGGGTTTAAATAATATTGTAATATACGAGTGTATAACACATTATGTATTAAGATTTTGTGTTGTATTTACAGTTTAATACTCGAAATTTTTTTCATTTATTATACAGAATAGAATTAACATACCAATAATAAATAGGAATAATAAGAAATCAGAAGGGATAGAATTAAATATTTCATATAATAGAGAAAAGGATAATGAATTTAAGGGCACTCTTTTCATTATTTTATAAAGGGTGTATTTTTAAAGGGTGAAATAAATTTATAAAAAAAAAAAGAATTTTTTTTTATTAAAATTCTGGCCCTCTTTTGTTTCTCTTTTTTCTTTTTTTGTCATTTATTTTACCTGATCTTGTACATTATCCTTAAGTCTATGTTGTGGTCCTGGTTGTATATATTGTTGACTTTGTTCTGAATTTTGTTCAAAAATAGGTGTGGCATCACCGTGACTACCACCAGCCGCACCAGATTGTTGTGCTATTTGTTGATAATATTGTCGTAAATATGCAGGATCAACAGTACCCTGTTGAGCATTGCATAATCCAAATAATACTACTACACATAATATTATAGATTTCATTTTATATATTTGTTTTTTTTTTTTATTTGTAATATTTAATATTAATATTTTCAAATTAATTTGTATTATTAATTAGAATAACTGTTATAATTAATTAATTTTATATTTTTTTTAAGATAACTTTTTTTTTTATTTTTACGTGATAATTTTTTTCGTGCGATCACTAAAATTTCACTGTTTTTTAATTTAGAATTAATGAAATAAAAATTAAATTTTCTTATTTTAAGTAATTTTTTTTTTTTAAATTAATTATTTTTATTTAATTTTTCAATTATTATAAATTTTTTTTTTCAATTATATAATTTTAATTTTTAATAATCGCGATCGTATTTACTTGGGCACGGTTCTTATACAAACCCGTTTTACACCAGTTAAAGTCTTATATTGAATAATGATCTGCAATCATTGCAATTTTGTTTTTATATGTACCACCATAGACACATAGAAAAAGAAAAAAATAAAAACAGAAAACAGAAAAAAATTTTTGTGTTATTGAAGGAGAGTGGAGAATGGTAAAATAAAAATTTAAGAGAAGGTTTTTTTTTTCTATTGCTTTTGTTTTTATTATTGTTTTGCATGTTGCATACAATTTGTTTTTGGTTTTTCTGTATAAAAAGCCACGATAGTAATTGTACCGCCACCGCCACATTTAAATTTGATAAAAGGGAACTAAATTTTATAAATTATATATATATATATATATATATATATAATATATATATATATATATAGATTTATTATATTATATGTGTAGTGATATGTACGTAGTTATATAAATTTATATTTGCATACATATGTACATACAAGTTATGTACATAGCGAAAATTAAGATTGTATTAAAATAAATGCTCATATTTTATATGTGATTTAATTCGTATATATATCAGTTATACTATGTACGTAAATACCGTTAATTCTGGAAAATATTTATATATATAAGCATATATATATACAAAATTTACATACATCAATATATATATATATATATACAATTATAGTGTTGTGTGTTTTTGTTTGTTTAATTTTTATAGTTTTTTCCTTATGCATATTATAATATTAATATGCATTAGCATTTACTGTGATGTCAGTATATGTGTGATGTCGGTATAAATTTTTTTGTCTTGCTAATATTTCTGAAATTTTTGGATTACTTTTAATGAATTTGCATTAAAAAAAATTTTGTTTTAAGAAAATTTAAATTAAAATTAAATTCTTTTTTAAAATATTTCAATTAATATTTTAGAGATGGGAAATTTATTAAATAGATTTTGTATACATATAGGGAAATTTTGATAATTTCAGTTTACATTATTTTATATTATGTACCTATAAAGAAATTATTAGAACAAAAGACTTCAATGCCGAAAGCTTCATAATGGTGAAAAATTTTAAATGAGAAACTTGTTAAATTTTTTTTTGCTTTAATTCTGTATAATTAAATTGAAAATATTATAAATTTCAATTTTACAAATGATTAAATTAAATGATTGTTATTTTTGTTTTAATAATATCAATAATGAGTATTTAATAATTATTATGTGCATAATTATTATAAATTTTAATTAAAAATATAAATTTAATTTTATTAAATTTGATATTATTGGAAATTATGATAGAATTATGAAAATTAATAAAAAACAAAAACATTATAATTATTAAAATTATAACTATTGCAATAATTAGTTGTTAGGACAATTATTATTTGTGGTTTATTTATAATAATTAGAATTGGGTGTTGTTTTTTTGTAAAATTTTTTAACAACCGTAATTAATAATAGTTCCTTAATCATTTTTTCTTATAATATTCCTAATTTTAGTTTTTAACAGGGTTTATAATAGTTTGAGATTAGTGTTATATGGTTAATGAAAATAATAATTTTAAAATTTTATTTAATATTCAAAATTAATAAAATTATTTAGAGTTCGTAAATTATATCGTAATTAAATGATTCAACTTCATAATTACGATTAAAAAAATTTAATCGTAATTATGAAGTTGACATTTTTGAGCATGCATGTAAACATATAAAATTCACTGTCTTTTCTCCTTTTAAACTGAACCGGTTTATAGAAAATTTTAAGGATCCATATACGAATTTTTTGTTTAATTTTAAAAAATGTTAGGAAATTTGTTAATAAATTTTCATTAAAAAAAAAAGTTATGCAGATGACGCTATATAGCATACCAAAATATCGTAAAATTAACATAAAAAATATCGTAAATGCACATAAATGAGTAAATATCGTAAAAAAATAAAAATAATGGTATGGTAACGCATAAAGTGTACACTCTCATAGGTTAATCGGGGTTAATTTACAACAAAATTCAATATTATTTAAATTTTTATTTACTCATTATACTATATAGATTATTTAAGTAGTATACTATATAGATAAGGGAAATATTCTCAATTCAGCAATCATTTAACTTATATCGTGTATGTAATATACTTAATATCGCGTGTTAATACATTTCGGACATAAATTTCCCGTTTGATTATAATTTAATAAATTTGATAGCAACTTGAAATTAAAATATGTAAGACACATACATATATATGAGTACAGTACATAGATATACAATTCCATTGACTTTCATATATAATAAAAATTTTTAGTGCAAATTTTTAATTTCATTTTCCTTCATAAAATACCAAAATTCATAAAATTTTGAGCTCAATAAAGAATGAAAGTGAAATCTATATATGGTATACATAATTTTGAAGATTATTTGTATACTTTCCTTCAATACTTCTCAAAAATTATGTAGCTTGTACTTCATATTTATGAACCATATTAAAATACTCAAAATCACATTGTATAAATAGAGTGAATCTTTAATAATATAATTAATAATGATTAAGTGATTTAAAATAACTTATTCTTGAAAACCTTAATATCATTATATAAATTCATTTGAAATATTTGAAAATTTAAAAAATTTAATTAAAGAGTGCAATAATAATTAAATTGAATGGTAAGAGATGATATTGTTTTCTATATTTAGACATAAAAATCTTCATTTTTATTAAACATGCATTTTTTTTTTACCATTCAAGTTTCTATCTCTATTTTCGTCTATCGCGGAATTTTTTAATAAGGTATAAGCCTTTAAAAGTTATAAGAAGCAAGTACAAGTATAACACTCTGACAAAACACACTTGAATATATTATATATATATGTACATACAAAGTAATTACATAAAAAAGTTGTCTCTTATACAAAAGTTTATAAACATTTTGTATACTAGGAGAATGCGAGAAAAAATAAACGTGGACAACAGAAAAAAAATTATTTTTTTTTTTGGTTTTTTTAATCAGGCTATGCTCTAAAGTACATTTACTTTTCCTTTATGAATACAGATCATTTATATACATGTATATAGTACAGGCTCTTATTGATATATTGTATACGTGTATAACAAGTATACATATTTTTATTATTATTATTAAGGTATAATTTTGAATTATTTCAAGCTCATAAGTGGGGCATATTCAAAAACAAGCAAAAAAATATCAAGAAAAAAAAAACCAACAAACAAACTTTATAACAGATCTGTAATTCCATATCAAATGATTATATCGTAACACTTTTATTTTGAAAATGTTATACATACACTATACTCATATATACCTTTATATTTTTATTATTATGTTTACATATTATGGAATTATTTTTACATATCAAATATCAACCCTATATATATTTAATGTATATGTTTATCATGGTTACATACAGTAGAATCTAAATTATTTTAATTGCAGTTTATATAAAAATTATATGTTATACAGTATGAAGAGGTAGATTTTAATTACTAAATGTAATTTTAGGCATGTGACCATGTTGTACTGCTTATCGGAGATCTAATTTTAAGAATTCTATTAATTTTATATTTCGAGTAATGTGAAAAGTATTTTGGTCTCTACGTTGTTGGAAATATGAAAATAATTGAAAGGAATCAAACTACATGACTTTGGAGTTCTAGTATGATTCTACGATTTTAATTCTGCGATAATAAATTGTGATTCGAGTTCAATACGTTACTTCTATCACTTCTATTATTTACGATATGGTAACGATGCGCATGTATTTTAATACGATATTACTGTAATTTTGAAGTCAGTATAATTTTTTTCCGATAAATTTATCTAAAGCACATTTTTGTTTTATACTTTCGTCCTCAGTTTGATTCTAATATATTTTAAAATTTTAATTCAACTGTTTGTCTTTACATGTTTTATATAACATACTTTTTTATATACGATATAAGATATCGTATACAACATATTTTTGTACCTAAATCAAATCATTATGTTGGTACTATAATACCACTGTTTTTCTTAATAATTATGAATGTATACATAAGATGCAACGGATGCAAAGATTTTTTTTCTCATTTTATTTTCCCTATTATCAAATAATTATTTTTTTTTTAAGCTCGTTTTTTGTTTTCATAAGTTTTCCATTATTATTGATTACAATTTTCTTTCATTTTCTTATTATTTTTTTTTTTTTGTAATTGACTTATTTTTTGATGTCTCGGTCAAATTTTTGGGCCGATTCGATTTTTATTACATATATATGCAAAAAAGTAAAAAGAAACTGAGCATAAAACCAAAATGTTAAAAATTGCAAATATAAAAAAAAAAAATATGAGAACATACACTCAAACATGAACTGTAACTCTTACGTCATAATTATGTGTATATGGTTTCATTGTTACATGAAACTGGGTTTCGGCTTTATGTTTTTTTTTATTTTTTTGCTCGCCTTCTTATGGTCTCCTTTTCTCTTTTACAGAAATAAATTAAGATGGATTTTATTAACAATTGTTCAATTGTAAAGAAAAATATATAAAATAAATTTTACATTTTATTTTACATTTTCCATCTTATATATGTCGATTATATTTACAATTATAATACTATACATTACTACATCCTTGTAAAAGAGTTGGTATACCAGAATTAAAATATTTTTCATAAAAATTCCATGACTTGAAAATAGTATTGTATTAAATACGATAACAATAGAAAAATACGAATTTAATTCACAATTTAACATAAAATTCAGTAACAGCTACTTAACAGCATAATTAGACAGCCACAATGTTTATAATTGAATTGTGAATAATTGTGAATAACTGACTGTGTATAATAATACGATATTATTGTAAGAGTGTTAAGCCAGTGATATTTTCAATATAAATGTAGCTAAATTATGCAGAAATGAGTGTTACAGAAGCGAAGCGAGAACCTATATAAACACAACAACGAATGACATTTCATTGCACGCGAACATGATATTTATTACAATACAAAACAAGTTTTCTTTGACAGAAAGCTCATTATTAAAATGACAATTAAAATCATTAAATAAATTCACTAATCCCGTT